TGGGCGCTGAGGGCTCAGTGGGCACAGTGCCCCAGGTGGAGCCGCAGGTGTCCTTGTGAGGGCAGGTATGACCCATTCCCTGCCCCTCTGCCTGTTTTCGAGGTGTGTGTCAGACCACGGTGGTGCTGCCCACGGTTGGTGTATTTTTCCCTGGGGCTGAGGGGTTGTCTCCCCTTGCTGCCCTGGCAGAGGCTGCACCGAGTTGAAATGATGTTGGTAATTGGTACCACGTTGGGGATTCGAGTTTTCCTTTTACTATATGTGCTTAGTTTGGGGGTTTGGTTTTTTTCCAGGGTTTATCGTCTTGGTTTGGGGCAGAGGGACAGGATGCAGCAGGTTTGGGGCTGCCTGGGGTCTGTGATGCTCCTCAAGTGTTTCTTGCCTTTGGGAATGTTACACAGAGTTTTCACAGGGAGAACAGAGGTGTGAAGGAAAACTTGCAGATGGCACAAAGAAGCTGACACAAACCAACTCGCACTCCTTGTGTGTGTAACCTGGTTTTGCAACGGTTCCGTGCACTGCAGTGGTGGTTGTAGATTATTTTTGTATCATTAATTTCCAAGACAACATCCCATGAGTAAATAGTGGGTTTATGTAATGGTGATGACAACTCTACCTGTACCACTATATAGTTTGGGTAACATTTCCCACTTTATCATGCAGCTCTGTGGGTCATTTTGCTTTTGCAGACATTGCAGGAGATGTAGTGATTGGGGAATGTCTGTCCTGCTGTGGCTGCAGGGAGAGGATTAGAGGGAGTGGTCATAAGGTGAGCCAGGGCAGAGTCAGATTGGAAGTGAGGAGCAATGTTTTCCCTGTGAGGGTGCTCAGGCACTGGGATGTTGCCCAGGGAGGTGGTGGAGTCACCATCCATGGAGGTGTTTTGAGGCATCTCATGCTGAAGGATCTGGTTTAGGGTTTGAGACTTCCAGCAGTGACAGGTTAACGGTTGGACTTGATGACCTTAGAGCTCTCCTCCAACCTTGATGATTCTATGAAGTTTTGCTCCCCTTGAAGAACACACCCAGAGCTACCATAGTTCAAACCCCTCTGCAAATGAGGTGTTTGTCCCAGGCAGCAGTGTGGAAGTGGTGCTGTGTGAACAGCAGCTCAGAGGAGATGTGTCTTGCAGGTGTGTGAGCGCAGCCATGGCCACGGAGTCCCCGCGCCGCCCCAGCCGATGCACCGGGGGAGTGGTGGTTCGTCCCCAAGCTGCCACGTAAGAACCTTCTAGAACAAGAGCCCTGGCTGAAAATGCTCTGATTTCCATGTGCAGCCACCTGACCTGAGTGTTCTCTCCTCAAACCCAGCTGGGAGGGCTGTGTGACTCCGCAGTTGTTGAGTGTTTTCCAAGAACAAGTCTCACAACTGCAGGTCAAACTGTCTCCCCAGCTGGGCTGCTTTGAACTGGTGCACCAAGATGAAGTTATATGTTTTTTAAAAAGTGCTACGTTGCATTTTTTGCTGCTGTTTGCACCATTCTGCTGTACAAACACTGCACTGGCTGTAGGTCAATGATGCAAACTTCTTCCTTAGCCTAGAAAGGATGTGCTACACATGTTCCTTGTCCTGTCCAGTAACACTTTGTCTCAGGGCTGGATGTATTAAAACACAGAATCCTGTCATTAAACTCCTCCATTAAGTAAAATTATGGATTTAAGTTGAATTTTGGATTTCATTTCTTTACCTAAAAACAACCAAAAAACAAGAAGAAAGGAAGAAGCTCCATCTCTACAGCAAGAGCACCCAAGAGACCATTTTTGTGCTTGGCCATCTGAATTTTCCATTGTGTCCACATGCAAATAATTCCATGGCAAAATTGTTTCTGGTCTGTAAGACAGTCTAGAAGATTTGTTGTCTTTGCACTGTCTGTTAAAGCAGTTTCGTAGCAGTTTTTCTTCCTTTCTGGGGATGCTTATACTGCTGCAAAATGGCTCTATATTGAAATGTTCACCTCAGGGGGTGTTAGTTTGCCCCTGGAGATAATTTCAACATCAAGATTCACTTTTTTTTTGCTGAGGAGCACAAGGAACTGTTGTAGCACAGAAAGTTGTGTTGGAGGTTTGTCTTGCAGCCAAGTCATGAACTCTTATGTGCAGAATTCCTCAAGAAATGCATTTTATAAAGACCTTTTTCTTCAAGATATGCTTAAAATACAAGAGAAAACACTGTAATAAGGTGATTATGATGATTATCTTTTTATTTAAATATGCTGTTTGTTGCTGAGGTACCTGTTGTCACCTCAGAGCTCTCAGACTTTGGGTGAGTCAGTGTTTGCTGAGCAGCACACAGCAACATTTTGCTGATCCTGTGAAATTCTTGAATTCTTACCGAGAGATTATTTTTTTGGTGAGTTGTGTTGTTTTTAAACACTTTCAAGGTCTCTTCCTGCAAGTTTTTCCAACTTCAGGAGTGATTCGGAGCATATACACAGAGTAAAATGGTTCCTAAACATCAGCTAATTTCAAGATGTATTTGGAGGGGAGGGGAAAAAAAAAAGCACATTTCTTAAGCTGAACCATGAAGACAGGATGACTCTTGCTGCTAGGAATTCCCAGAAGAGCTCCAGACACTGTGTTTAATACTCTACCTGCAGCCAAGCATTACAATAAAGGCTCTGAAGGTGCAGAGACAAGTTTGGGTGACCTACATAAGTCCAAGAGGAATCAGCACCACAAACCACAGCTCACTTGTAAGGCCTGAGCTCAGAGCAGTGAGGCAAACTCTGCTGCTGCAATTCTTGGGTTGCTGAGCAAGGTCTGGTTTTGTCAGGAGCTGGGTAAGCTTCCTGAAATTTAAAACACTGTTTTAGATTTATCTTTGTTTTCAGAGAGAAGTCAAACAGTTAAGCTGATTCAGCAGCATTTGACTTCAAGTGTTGCTGCTTGTAGTGCTGAATTCTTCAGGGTAGTTCATTCTGCAGTGCCAAACACTCCCATTTTTCTGTTGAAACACTCTTGCTCAGCCTCAGGAAGCACCTTTGGTCACCAGGAGTGTAGAGTTCCTAGTTTACAGCTTTTCTTAGCCACTATTAGAAATCTTCAGTTAGCACAGGAAACATTATGACAATATAAGAATTAATTTGGGGCAAAGCGGTTGGCAGAAGAGTTGTTGGGTCCCTGTTTAGCTCATCTCACACTTGATGGTTAGTTCTCACTGTCAGTGTTACTCAAGACATCAAACACCAACGTTTTACATGTTTAAACACTTTGTAACACCTTCAGCCTGTGCTGTGAGTTACTCAGCAGTTGCACAAGACTCACCACTCGGGTAGGGGTAAGAAAAGCTTGAGTTTAAATCTGCCACGACAGATGTATCTCACTATATACTCACCCAATCATTGCTGCTAATGAACTTCCAGGAAGGAATAAGCTATAAAACCTTATCTTACAATGCCTCTCCTTACTCTCTCAGGTTTTGGCCATCTCCTGCCCCTGAGAGCCACAACTTTGCTCCATCATTGCACAAAATGCACAGGAGCTCTGAGAGTCTCCTTGTTTTCCAAGGAAAGCTCCAGCCCTTGGCTGAATCCCTCATTTTCACGTTGTAATAACCAAATCAAGCAGGAGACTAGACAACAATAATCTCTAAGTGCCTTTTCAGGCCACTGTATCATCAGTGTTTAAGTATATTAAGTAACTCATTGCATAATTAGTGTTTTCCGTTGTGCTTGAGCTTGTCCATGTTTCCTCTGCTTTTGTGTCTTCTGTATCCATGACCATTTCAGTGGTAGCTGAAACTCTTCTTCTGTTTTCCAGGGAACAGTCCTACATGGAAAGTGTTGTTACATTTCTCCAAGATGTTGTACCACAGGTATGTGTAGATCTTGAATTATTTTTTTCAGTGGACAAAGCAGTAGAAATGTGTGTCAGGTGGACCAAAATAAAAATACCCAGAGAAACAAAGGCCAAATGTTTTCTCTTTTTGCCTGTGAATCCCAAGACCTGGTTTGTTGAGCACAGACTGCAAACCAGCTGACTGTTGGGGCTGCAGATTTCCTCTGATGAGTAATAATAAATGAAAATCAGAGCTATACAGTTAACAACTACAATATAAATAGCAGAGAGAAGATTTCATCTCTTTCCTCTGGTAATTTTAGCCCTAGAACAGTTGGGGAGAGGACAGACTGGGCACAATACTTGCTCTGCCTCTTACTAAGATGTACTTTTTGGGTGTTTTTCCCATTTCTGGGATCTTTCTCTCTGGGTGATGACTATGATGCTCACGTCTGCTCTTGGTCAGAGTCTCCACAGACAGCAGCAGCATTGAACTGGGTCCCTTGGTGTTGGACTTGGTGATCTTAGAGGTCTCCTCCAGCCCTGATGATTCCATGTTAGTGTCTTGGTTTCCTCATGGATTTCCTCTCAGGAATTCCCATTTCATTTCCTCCCTACTAATGTAAAAAAAGGGGAAAAAAATCCCCTCACTAATCCCAATTTTTGAAATGCATTTTGCAAAAACGAAGAATAGTGAAAGTTTCATTGAAGAGATTTCTGCATTCCACACCCTCCTCCTTCCCCCTCTCTAGTTAAAGGCTCCAGTCTGTGCTTTATTTTACAGATCACTTTGCCTTGCAAGCAATGGAATGTGATTTGTTTTGAAAAGTAAACCCCACACTTATTTTTTAGATTTGTATTTTTAGGCCATGTTATTGCTTTGCTGGCATGTATGAAGTGATTGTACAAGGTCTTTTCATATTTAATCCCAAATACTGCTCAGGATTTGGGTATAATTCAGTTGGAAGTGATGGAATTTCTACTGTAGCTCACGTTCCTGCTACCACAGCTCCTCCTGAGGACTGTAAAAGCTCCAGTTTGGGAGCACTGCAAGGCTCCTTCACAGTTTCTTTTTGTATCTCATCTATTTATGGGAGTGTGTAGAACACAGGACTGAAACGTGGATCTGTTCCACTGCAATTGCAGTTTATTCTCTTTTAAATGGCTACATTAAAGTTGTCACAAATAGAGTTGAGACGTGTCAGGAAAATAAACTGGGGAGTGAAGGTCTCTTTATTCCCTCGGGTTTGCTCACAAAGCTTTTAATGAAAAGGAGTTTTAAAAGGCCAAGTGCCTCAAGTGAGAGCCTCCAAGGAGAGCAGGCACTGCATTTTCCCCACTGCCTTGCTGTGAGTCACATGGCATTTCTGACTGCCCCAGGACATTGAGAGTTCTGTATATTTTGTCATTCCTGCACTAACAAGTGATGTTTGCTGTGGTAATGTTGATCATGGAACCATAAAGCCTTGAAACAAGTACTGGTGGCAGTGAGATGCAGGTAGCTGTTTTCATTCTTTAACTCACATTCCTTCCTATAGGGGGAGAAAAAAGTGTTCAACTTTGTTATTTCAACCCTTTTGTCCAGGCCTACAGTGGAACACCTCCGGAGGAAAAGGAGAAGATCATTTGGGTCAGATTTGAAAATGCAGATTTAAATGGTATGGCTTCATTTTCTCTCACTGATTGCTCTGAGGTTTGGGTCTGTGTACAGTAATTTCAGTCAGGTCTGTCTGCAAATTAAACAAAAAACCCACATTTCTTTTATTTAAGGTAGTTGAAAACGAAGTATAGAGCTGAATTTAATTCATCCACAGTTTGATTTCAAAGCCAGATGATCCAACTGAATCCAGTCCAGGTCCCAGATATGTTTTCACTGCTCTGACAGAATTCAGAGTAACCTGGAAAGGAAGAGCAGTTGGATAAAATGAGCAAGGGATTCCATGAGGTCTTTATTTTGTGTTCCATATCCCTTCATATTGTGCTTAAATTTTTCTTTTATGCAGCCAAATCTGATTGGGCCTAAAAACCTCCTCTTTCACCACGCCAGACAAGTCCTTTCTGTGCTGCTTCCATGGTTGCACTGAGCTTTGGTTCATTCTGCCATGGTTCAAAGTGTAATTTTAGAGAGATTTTACTCAAAAACCTTAATTTTTGTGATTATTGTGTCCCACAGCACTTTTCTTCCTGGAGTTTTCCTTCCTTTGGTAAGGCTGATGTACAGATCAATCCCAGAGTGTCTAGCAATAATTTTGCCCAGTTTGAGCATTTTATTTTCTCTCTTTGTTATCTATTTTGTTGTTACAGTTTTTCTCAATGAAAAGTTTGCTGTATTTTATTAATCACTGGAGAAAGAAAAACTACTCCTGTTGTAACCCACACATTTTTTTCTCCCATTGTTTGAAATTTTCAAGCTTTCTAACCTCTCTGTGACACTTCAGCAATGAGTTTGTTGGAAAGGATTTGTTTCAGTGCTGTTCCAGCACAAAAACCTGGAGCACTTTGGTTGCTTTTAGTTATGACAAGAGCAATGTGCACTGAGGAAACACCATCTAGTGTTACTGACAGCAGCTGGGTCTGATCCTGCCCTGCTAATAAAGGCTTTGATATTCAACCCCAATGTAGATACATCAAGGAATATGGAGTTCCATGAAATCCACAGCACTGGGAATGAGCCCCCACTCCTGCTGATGATCGGATACAGCGATGGGATGCAAGTCTGGAGCATTCCTGTGAGTACAGGGGTCACCTCTCTGCTCTGCCACAGCCTCTGCTCTTCAACTCGTGTTCTTTCTTCAATATTTTACCTTTCATTTTCTCTGCAAGTGGTAAAACTCGACATTTCCCATGGATGTCCTATGGTTTAGGTGTAATTTGCTTATCTTAAGGAAATACTGAGCCTAGATCAAACTCTTGAGCTCATGTGCCTTCAGATTTGAGGAGTTCTGCACTTTATTTCTGGTGAGCACATCTCCATACTCCAATCTGCAGCAGTGTTTGACATCAAGGAATCCTTTGGAGCCCAGAAAGGATAGGATTTAATTTAACAGACAGGAATAAGGGGGGAAAAAATAGGATTTGTTTGTGCCAGGAATGCAAGTCTGACAGTATCGACAGGGTTTTGCACTCACATGTTTGTCATGTACATGATTTGCAATGTTAATTTTATTAAAGCCTCTGTGTGCATATGGCTTTGATTTCAGGCTGTCGTGGCCCCACCTGAGTTTGGGCTGCACAGTGGGTTATGGGCACATGGTCCTCATTTGGGGAATTTCCCCCAAATTTCTTGAAACATCAGAATAACATTTAATACAGGTCATAAAGTCCTTAACTTAAAGAGCTAAATTGCCCTTTGGAATAGAGGAGAAGGGATGGAGTTCTTTCCTTGTGTTAATACATTGGTTTGTAAGAAGTGTGCACATTTTTACAACTTGCTCTGATTTTTTTTGGTTGTAATTTATAAAGCAATAGCTTAGTATAGCAGAAAATAACATTAATTTCTACACCACAAGTGGAATTAATTTGAGTTTCAGGAGTGTGAGAGAGCTTTTCCCTGCCTGATTGCTTCTTGTTAGCTGCAGAGGAGGAAATAAAAAAGCTGCTGAGCTTCTGCATTTGCAGGAGGGTTTAATAAAAGTGGAATAAGGCTAAATACTTCACTACACTTCAGTATTTTGTACCTTGTTACTAAAATTTAGGAACTTTATCCAACACTTAGGAACATTTCAGCACGGGGTGACCTTTAAGTTCCCTTCCAGCCCAACCCATTCTGTGATTCTATGAGTACTAAGAGTGTGTTTAGAGCATGTAATTAGTGTCGGGCGCTAATTGGAAGCCTGATCGTGGTCCCTGAAGTGGTTGCGAAGGGTTCGCTTTGTTCTCGCGCTGTAGGACACAAAATCCACCACGAGGTGTCGCCAAGACACTGAGCTAAGAGCGAGCGCAGCCGCTCTTCATCTTGGTTAATTATCGAGTTGATCAATTAATTAAGGTGCCGTCATCGACTTCAGGTAAAGATTTCATATAAAACACCGCGTTTTATCCAGATGAGATGTCCTTACCCCATAAACAACTTTGTTCGTCCTGCTGGTGAGTCCTTAGTGATGGTGTCAGCCCAGGCAGCTGGAACACCTTTCCTGATGGGGGAGAAGAGTTTGCTTTGGGTTTGTGGGTGGGTTTTTTTCCTTGTTTCTTTTTTTTTCTCTCTTGTGTTTGAATTAGCCACAAGTTAGGCCATGGGATACATGATATTACCTCCTTCTGGGTTTTTTTTCCCCACTGTTTTTTACTTCTTCATAACTCCTAGATTTTGATAGTCTTTAATATTTTAGGGGAAAAAAACAAGAGCAATGAAATCCCAGGAGAGTTTCTCTTAGCACTGTTGAGTTTTTGCAGGAGGATTTGTAAGGGGCACGGGGGAAGTGCAGTGAAATGGGGAAAATGCCAAATGTGGAAGTGTTTCACTATCCATCCACAAAAAAGGGAGTCAGCTGTAGAGATATTGGATCACTTTGTCAGCCCTTCATTTAATTATATATTCTATGAATATACACATAGGTTAAATTTTTATATCCCACATTCCCATGTCTGTTCTGTGGAATTCTCAGAGCACCTCCAGGGAGGCACATGGGTGTTAGAACAGTCTCAGTGCTGGAATGGTTCCTCTGGTAGATGGTCCTGGAGACTTTTGCAGAATGATAGTCTTTAACATTTCAATATCTTCTCAGAGCATATTTGTGTGTTTCAGAGCATTTGTATATCTAACGAATTTGGAGGGAACATAACCTGTTTTTTTCCTTCACGTTGTTATTTCTCCATTGTGTTTCTTCTCTTCATCTGAGTACAGGAAAATCTACCAGTTTTGTGCCTGACTTAAGAGTTTATTTGGCAACACTTTTTCCCTGTCCTTTGCTATTACACAAACCTTTCTCCTTGGCCTTGCTGAGTCTTTAGCTTGTAATTAAGTTAGTCCAGTCAAGAAAAAAAAACCAACCAAAAAACCTGCAGCTTTAAAAAGCTTTTAATCCCCAAAAGCAACCATTTGCCAAAAAAACCTCCTCAGGAAAGCTATTATCTGTGGCATTGTGCTTTTTCTTCGTACAATTGAGCCTCTATCCAGCAGTTAATAACGTGTTGCAGGCAGCCCCGTTTGTGTGTGAGTGATTATGAAGTGTTTATGACAGGTTCTAAGCCAACACTCCGGGTAATGGCCTTACATTGACTTGCCCACACCTCCGGAGTCTGCCTGCAGGAGTGGGTGTCTCTCTGCAGCCTGAGTGCTTTCACATTAACATCTCCTCGGAGGAAGATCTTTGACTACACAAGTGTTACTTGCAAATGGGAGATACCATTAGTGCTGCTTCAAAGGCCTGGCCTGGTGCTGGGAGTGCTGGGGAGTGCAGCCTGGCGGTCTGTGCTGCCTACCAGGCACAAGGTGTCCATCCAAGGGGCTTGGCTTTGATCTTTGTTTGGGAATGGGGGTGGCAAGGTTAAAAGTGTTCTTAAAATATGTCTTTGCTAAGTGGGGAGAAATCTGGGAAGGCACAAAAGCGTGACTGGAAGTTCCTGTTTGATAACAGAGCAGCGTTTGAGTTTTACTTGGAGTTTGTTTGTCCCTTGCTCCCAGTTTCGTGTTTCAGATACAACTGGAACTGCTTTCGGCCTAATGTGGTTTCCAAGGATCTGTTCTAGATGTTCCCGTGCAGGGAAATGCATGTTGGCTGCTTTTGGGGCAGATAAATTCTTTTTCAATGTATTCAGAAAGTTTCAGAAGTAGAAAATTCATCTCAATTTAATGGTTCACATTGCAGTTAAACAAGAAGAAGCAAAGCTGGAGTTGAATGGAGTAGGAACTACCAAAGGGAACTTGTAATAACAAGCACAGGTGGATATTTAGCAAAGACACTTGAAGGCTGTGGCATAGGGACAGGATGTGTCAGCCCACAGGGCAGGTGACTTCCCTGTGGAGACCTCTGGAATGCTGGGGAGTGGTTGGACAAGGGTGGCATCACACACTGCCACCGCTCCACTGCCAGGCCTGGCATTTCTCGGGATCCTCCTCTCACCCTCCTGTGATTTGGCAGTTTAGCCACTTGGAAAAATGCAGTGATTGACCTGACCTGGGAACCCTGAAAAATGTCTGAGGGCTTTGCAAAACATCTGTGCAGATCATTTTCTGAGGCTTTGGGTTTTTTTTTTTTCACACTGAGGATTCTACCAGTGTTCAAGGAATGTTCTGGTTTTACACTCCCTAAGTGACTGCAGAACTGCTGGAAAGGTTTTTATTCCTATCATACCCCACACCAGTTGGAAAAGAAGCACATGCCAGAACCTTTCCTAAGGCTGTGGTGGGTGGTATCAGGAGATTCCAAATGGCATTTCATGTTGGTCCCTGGGTCAAGGCTGAAATGAAGACCCATGAAGAGTATTAGTATCTGTGTTCTACCTCCTCCCAGTACTGCCTGTGACACTGTGTAGGCATGAGGGGATTAAAAGCAGTGCAGAGCTCACCCCAAATGAGAATTACCCAGAGCCCTGCAGCCTGGTCATGCTAAAACTCCTCAAAATGTATGGCAGATGAGGAGAGAATGTTGAGGGAACTAACCAAACCCATTTCCAAGCTTCCATTGCCATGAGAAGTGCAACTTCATCCTCAGCTCAGGCACTTGAGAGAAGTCTCTAACATGCTTTGGGCATCTAAATTCTTACAATCTCTCAATAATGTTTAAAACATGGATCAGAATATTTGAAATCTCCTCCTGATACATTTCCTTTCCCTCCCATGTATTCCCCAGTTGCCTTTAACATAACTGCACAGCAGTTTAAACACTGAGTTTTGAACTCAATTTTCTTTCACTTTGGTGTATGTTTGACTTTTTTTTTTCTTCCTCCCCCAAAATTTCCCCCCCCCCATGTGAAAACCATTTTCTATGGTTGGAAACTATTAGTTATCCTTAGTGTGAACAAAACTTCCTTTGTTCAGTTTCTTGTACGGGTGCAAACTGCTCTGCTCCAAACAATGCAGCTCTGTCATAAAAAATTAAGCAGAGCTCCAGAGCTCTGCGCTGTCATGTTTTAAAGCAGCAGCTCAAGATGTCTTAAGTGGAGAAGAGAGTTCTTACCATTTTCTATGGTTGGAAACTATTAGTTATCCTTAGTGTGAACAAAACTTCCTTTGTTCAGTTTCTTGTACGGGTGCAAACTGCTCTGCTCCAAACAATGCAGCTCTGTCATAAAAAATTAAGCAGAGCTCCAGAGCTCTGCGCTGTCATGTTTTAAAGCAGCAGCTCAAGATGTCTTAAGTGGAGAAGAGAGTTCTTCTTCCTCTTTCAAGCTGTCAGTGGAAGAGAGTGATGAAGACTTCAGCAGGGGCTGAGTTTTGAATCCATGTGCTCTTTGCTTCCAGCCTCCCGTGTAGGTCTGGGAGTTGTGGTCGGATGGGAGGCGCTGGCAGAGCTGAGATCTTCTATCACAGCAGCTTGGATCTGTCAATTTGGATTCCCTCTTTCCTCCAGCAAGTACCTGGAGCTGCTTTTATAGCTTAATATCCAATTCTTGAAACCTGCTTGGAAATATTCTTGGCCTTTGGAATGGGAAAGAAAAACTTTTAAGAGCTTTGAAAGCTGCCACGGGGACTTGCTACTTAGCTGGATCAAATCCAGCATGGCAGCCACAGCCTCGTGCTTCACAGGTGCTTTTTGAAGAATTTAGAGCTCTGCTTTCAATTCAGGAGGTCTATTTATGTTTTGTCTATGCATATGAGACTGTGGAGCTCCAGGGACTGGGATTGGGATGTGGAGACTTTTGCTGATCAAACTGGCAGTGACAAAGTCCTTGGCCATTCAGCCATGGGGTTGGGCCTCTGTTTCATGGAGCTCCTTGTCCCTCTTGAGTTCCTGGTGGGATAAGTGTCCTGTTCAGAGCAAAGATGGGCTCTCTGCTGGCTGTCTCAGGAGGGAGATAAGGGCAGAGCTGGCAGGAAGATCAGACCATGCAACCTGAAGATGGTGATTTCAGTCACAACTGGTTCGTGTGGCCTCGGCAATGGCAACGAAACTTTGCGTTGTCCATGGATAAATGAGCATTAATCACTGTTTATTCAGAATCTCCTGCTGGTGGTAGAGTTTAAAAAGGTTTAATTAAAATTGGAAGAAACTCTTGCACTCAAAGCCCTGATGCATTTTTCAGGCAGAGAAACAACCAAACTCTTCCCAATTCTTGGCATACAACAATGTGCAGTGCCTTTTATGGGTTCCTGTCCCTACAGAACAACTGAGGTCACACAACTGAAATCCTGGTAGAAACCTTTGATTTTATGAGGCTGTGGTAGGTGAAGTGTTAGTGTTTTGCTCCATGTTGCAGTGTTGTGTCCAATTTTTTTGTGACCTTTGAATTTTCATTGCAAAGAAGATGTCAGTGCTTGAGTGACATCTTGTATTGTCATTACAAAGTCTACAGTGGGATTATGTATTAAAATTTGGGTTTTTTTGGCCCCAACTCAGCAACTGCTCAGCACATGAGCTGTAGAGGTGGCTGAAGTTATCTGAACCCAAACCATTCCATGATTTATTCCTGCACAGGCTGAGGAAAGGACCTGTTCCCATGTGGTATTAAACATTACAGTAGTTTCAGAGAGGAGCTAAATACCTATAATCTCATCTTTGTCACTGTCAGATCCTGTGGCTGTAATTTTTCCCCAATATAAAATAATAAATTATCTTTCAAAGTATGACTATTAATTATTACAAAGTAAGAGCATTCTGTGCATGAGAAGAGCTGTGCTGGGATTGGCATGTTAGGTGCTGCTGAAGGACAAATAAACTTCATTTGTATTTGGACATTTTAGGCTTTTCCTTGAAAACCTCAACTTTCAGCACTGCCAGGTCTTGGCATCCCAGGCTGAATAAACATTCTCTCTGGAGCTCAGGATATTTAAGAGCAGAACCTGAGTTAAGGAGGTTTGGCCTTCTTAGTGTATCTGACTTTGGGGACTAGAACTTTATTTGAAGTAGATTGGAGCTAGGGCTGATGTGTTGGCAGAGTTAGAAAGGGAAGGAGGTGTCTGAGCTGGGTTGCTTTGTAGGAATCACTTCTTCCATACCTTTGTTATGCTAGTTCCTTTCCCTCTTGTTTTCATTCATAGCCACTGATGTGCAAACACGTGTGAAACAGCATTTTCATGCTTTGGGGGGAAAAAGCCTTTAATTGCCAATAATAATAGTTCCAAAACCTTCTAGTTTTCTTCTGTTCCCTCCTCTCCCTTTTCATACTGCTGCTGTTTTCTGATGTCTTCATCTTTTTCATCTCTCTTCAGTTTTCCTCAGTTTCTGCTTAGCTGTGCTCTACCTTTTCCCAAGCTGTTTTTTCCTGGATGCAAGTTTTATCTTCTTTTTTTCACACCACACTCCCAGCTGATGATCAGTGATGATCAGCAAACCTTTCCTGAGCTGATTCCTGATCATCATTCCTGTGTCTTGTACAGAATCTGGTCCCCAAACTCCAGAGCAGAGGCCTCTGGGTGCCCCTGAGGGAGAATATACACACAGAGAAAGGTTTTATGAAGTTTTGTGCTTCCCTGGGCTGGATTTGGGTCTGCCCACATTACCCAGAGCAGTGATAATAAATTCCTCAAGGTTGAGATTTCAGGCTGAGAGCTTGGAGTCCCGCACTAGTGATTTGTTGGTCAAACAGTAGGAGTATTTTAACTTCCTGAATGTGTGAGCTGAAGTGCAGAAAGAAATGGAAACAACCATAAAATGACATTTCAAAAACTTCACTTGAATTTATAGTTTATTGATTCCTAAGAAGCTTATTCCAAATCGTGTTCCCTTCTGACACTGTGAGTTGTTTGGCAGAACGTTATGCCAACATGTTGGCTCTGTTCTCAGTCTCATTACATCTGTTTTAAGTTGGTTATTTGGAAATGAGCTTCATCATGTTTGCCATTTTCCTGGAGTTTGACGTTCCATATCGGATCCATTACCAGGCAGTTAGGAAAACACATTCTGACTGACCAGTGCAGGAAGTCTGGAAATTCATCTGAACTCCTTCTGGTTTAATCTTTTCAAGATTGCCATTAGTGACATACTTAATGAGCTTGACCCCTTATTTTTAAACATTTTCACACCTGGTGGGTCTGAAATGAACCAACTCGTCAAGTTCTCTCATCTTTTCCCACCCCGTTTGCCCCTCTGGATCACTGGTTGGTTGGCATTTTCCTTGGGGGCATGTGAAAAGTTGAATAAATGCTTGTGCTGCAGATTCCTGGAATTTTTGTGAGTGTTAGTCAGCAGTTCACTTCATGTCTTGCTTCTTCTAAAACACGTGGCATCATCAGTAGTTGGGTCAAGGCTTCTAGGATCTTTCTCACTTAGAAAAATTAGAGATGGTTGGTTGGAAAGGCAAAATCTTCCCAAATTCACCTTCTTATCTCTTCATACAATGTCTACCTACTTCCTTACGTGCTAGATGTGTGTGTTTTAGTAGTGTGTGTATGTGTTTTACGCTGGTGTTCCCAACTGTTTTGCAGATCAGTGGTGAAGCTCAGGAGCTCTTCTCCGTGCGCCACGGCCCCGTTCGAGCTGCTCGCATCCTCCCAGCTCCACACATCAGTGAGTACACACCTGGAGCTTCCTAACTCAGCAGAACTGCTCTAAAACACTCCTTTTCCACTCCAGGGAGAGGAACAGACACCACAGCTTGTTTGTTGGGGTGACACTGCCTTCTGGTTTGTTCCATTTCTGCTCATTTTATGTAAACTTCACTCAATTTGACCTTTTCAGTGGTTGAACTTCTATCATCCCTCGAGTGCCAATAGGCACCTCCTCCCTCTCAGTGCTTAGCACTATTTTATCAAGTTCTCAGACAAGTACTTACTTTAACAGGATTGTTGCAGGAATTGAGTTAAGCCCCGCAAGAGTTTGCTGCAAAATTTATGCAACTGTGCCTAAACAAGTCAATCCCTTTAAAAAAAGACAGTGTTCAACTCAACACAACTTCATTGTAGACTTCTGAAAGCCCAAAAGCTGTTGGGGTCTGGTTTGAACTGATTGCAATGTTTTACTTTGTGGATGCAAAGAATGTGTTTCTAGTGTGAAGGTGTTGGGATTATGCCAGATTATAATTTGCATTAGGAGTTAATTAGTGAATGCAAAAAATAAAGCCTAAAGTCTAATTGTTTACCTTCTTACAAAAATAACAAATGATAATAACAATTCAGAGTGCTTCAAACAAAGTAAGTTAAGAAAGTGAAAAGTTCAGTGAATACATTTGATATTGTCTCAGTGATTTCCTGAGCAGGGGAATGCACAAAATAGGAGTTTGTGATGCTCCAAGTGAAAACAACTAAAGCAAAATATTTCCCAAGTATGCTGTGCCTTTAATTCCATTCACTGGAACACTGCATGATTCCTGGGGAGCTGTGGAGGTTTTTTTGCTGTGTGGCACGAAGTAATGGATGTCTGTGCCCCTTCCTCTCTCAAAGGGGAAAAAAATAGGAGAACGAAGCGTGTAAATGAAAATGAAGTAAATGAAGGACCTGGAAGTTCTGTTTTTTCCTGGTGTTCAAACAGTCCTGTCTGATTTTTCCATCCAGTCACACTGCTCATGGACTCCTCCAAGCAGTTACTGTCCTGCTGCCTCCAAATTCCATATATTTAGCATGTGACAATGTTACATTAGAAAACTATTCAAATTAGCTGATATTAAATTAAGCCAAACCTTTTAAAAACATGTTTTGGTCTCTTTTTACATGGCTTGCTTTAAATAAATCCTTGATTAAAAGTACATGAATGTATCATTGACCAGTATCTGGAATCTGATAAAAGCCAAGCTGTAATAAGAGACCTTAGATAACTAACACATGAGCTTTAATGATTCTGAAATGAATAAAAGGAGTTTGTAAAGGAGAAGCTGATTACCATCACCAGGCTCAAACACTATTTTACTGTAGAGCTGTAAAAAGGGAATTATTGAAAATAGGAGGCTCTCAGTGGATGGACTTGGCACGTTCCTAGAAACAGATCTTGGTGGGTGATAAGCAGCTCATTCCCAGGTGTGAAAGGCAAGCTCATGCCTTTAACTTGGTGACTTTACAGGAGCAGAACTTAATAGTTTGTCAACTATTTTGTTAAAAAACCCTAGCCCTTTGATGTTGGATCCTCTGCTGCATCATGTGCTCCGGGGCATAATGAAGCAGTGTTTGAGGAGAGTCATTTGGTGCAGGGTCACTGCAAGGGAGACCTTCTCCAATCTGATGGAGCAGGTTGTGAGTGCCCTGGTAGCAGGAGCGTGGGGCAGGCTCTGGAGTTGGCCTTGCACACTGCCAGCTCAGATCTGGGCAGGTTTGTTAGCTCAGGCACTGTGCCATGCTGGAGCACTGCACTGGCTGCCGGAGCTGCTCTGACCTGGCAGCTCTGCTCTGGTGGTAGTGCAGGTTTTGTCTGAGCTAACAAACCAGGCAAGACCTGACCTGGCCCAGCACTGCTGCACTTTGATGTCTGTGTGGCTGTGGTGTGGTTGGGCTGCAGCCTGGGCAAGGTGTCCATGAAAAATGGAGAGATTTCTGTCAAGAATGTTAACTAATATGGATATTAAACTCTGTGGTCAGGTACTATCAACCATTGCCTTCAGCAGTAGACATGGCTTCGATTATTTTCTACAGCTGACAATATAAATGGCCTTTTTGGGGCCTGGAGGTTCACCCTGTGACCAGATTTGGGGCTTGCAGAGTTAATATTTAGACTCTGCAAACATCTCTGACTGGACACTGTCAGTGTTAGGGACAAGAACACAGCCCTGGCACTCTGTGTGCCACATGCTGTGGTATCTGCTGAGCCATCTGCTTGGCACAGCTTTGCTCTGGCTCCTCCTCACCCTAAGCTCTGGGTGCTGGGCTGGAGCTTGCTATTTGTGCCTGCTGTGCTGGGCTCTGGGTTACTCTGTCTTGGGATGAACCAAGCATGTGTTTGAAAACACATTGCTGTGACCTGGTGGGTATGAGAAGGGAGAGAATGTTAAGAGGTAGACAAACCCCAAAGCTGGAGCTCTGTCAGTTAAATTTAGCTCCTGCTCTCTGTGAAGAGGAAATCAGGGTTGGTAACATCATTGTGGTTGGAGACAGTGAGAGAACCAAGGGCAAATCAGGTGTATTTTATTTTATGAGTGGAGTTTGTGGTGTCCTCAGTGCTATACAGGTTCCTCTGTACTCACCCAATGGGTTTATTTAGCCACATAAACCTCATTATTCATAGTCTTTGTTCAGCATCTTGTCTAATTTTTCCCTACTCTTCTAGGTGATGTTTTCCCAATTTTTCACATGTTACTGACCGTGGGATTTCATAGTTGTAGAACTGAAATGATCCTCAGTTTGAGTTCTGTATGTTGCTAAATATTCTGCCTTAGACACTCCTACCTTGATCTTGTGCTTTGTCTCTTCTGATTAGCATTTCTGTGATATTTACAGAAACATGAAAAATTAAAAATCTAACTTACTTAGGGTTCCTGCAGTAGTTTTATGTTCTTTGACCTATGAAGTCATTAATAAAAAAAAAAGCTTCAGAACTCTTCTAGTAGCTTTAAAAATCGGTTGTTTTGACTTCATTTTGAGGTCTGTTGCCTAAATCTCTCTGCATTCAGTGCTGAGCCAGTAATACATTTACTTCACATAGCCTTGCTGATATTTTCCTTGCAAAATCAGAATATTGTTGCTGTCTGAACTGAGTTACTGCTCCTGTCTACCACTTTTCATTGCTTCTCCCAGGGCATTTTACAAACCCTTGGCCAAATACCTTCTTTGCCCTGTGCTCTCCCTTTTGATAAGCTAACCAGGAAACCTGGAAAGCTGCAGGAGCAGCACTGTGTGTGCTGATTCCTGGCAAAAGGGACATGGTGACAGTGTGGGGAAGTTTGGTCCAGTCACTGTCTGTAAAACCTATTTCCCTGCCTCAGCATTATGAAAATAAATTCCTCCAGTGAGCTGAATTAATTTATTGCCATTTTCTAGATTATGCTGCTCGTAGAAAGATGATATAATAGTCCTACATCTCTCAGTCAGTTCTGGCCAAATTGACTGATAAAGGGGGAAAAAGCAGCTAAGAAAGGAAATGAAAGAAATCAGAGATACTGAAAACCGTTGAAAGTTGAAATTCTGCAGCAGATTTCTCTCTGTTCTCTACTGCTCACATCTCTGCTGTTGGTAAAATAAGGTTTGAACCTCAAGAGCTGACTCAGGTTTCTGTGCAGGTATTCTGAAAGGAACTATAATATTTGGGTTGCTTTCCAAAGGAAGACAGATGTGAGGGTTGTGTATGTCCAACCACTTGGGTGGCTCAGTGGTTTAACTCCCTGAAGGCCAAAATAATTGCAACGTGTAGAGGGTTTGGCCCTCCAAGCTGAAAAAGCAGAGCTGGGCTGGTGTAGGTGGGTCCTGCAGGTGTGAGTTTTGGTGTCCTCTGCCTGATCTGTGGGTTGTTAGGGGATAATGAGTGTTGATGGCTAATGGGTTATAGAAATTACAGGATGGACTTCTCCAACATAGCAAGTGAACCTTTTAGAGGTACTACAGGGAGGAATTTTGGAGCATCACATTGTAAAGCATGAATTCCTTTGAAGCTTTGCACTGTGCTGTGAGCCACCAGTTCAGTTCTGGCCACACCACATCAGTGTTTCAGACCAGTACATCTTAATTTCACCTTGTTTGACTGATAGGTCCTCATGGTTTTATTCAAACAAGATTTAGTCTATCTGTTTTCAGTTCTTGGTGGCTCAAGAACCATTGATCTCCAGCAAATGGTTTCTGGTCATCTGGTCTTTTTTTCAAAGAGAAACTATGTAGTTATCAGAAAATAAAACTGTGATGCTGTGCAGAAAAAAAAAAAAAAGGAAGAAAAAGCAGCTTTATATCAACATGCAGAGCTCTGTGACAGAACTGCCACAATCCTGTTCTCCAGCCACTGTTGCTGTGCTGTCTTGGAAATGGGAGGTGGAATAGGCTGAGGAGGGAGCAGAAATGGAAATAACTGGAGCTGAAGTGGTTTCTAGAGTGATAACTTCTTGGGAAGGTAAGAAACAGCTGTTGTGATGCAGGTCCTGGAGAGGAACTTGGAGGATGTGGGGGATGCTGGAGGTAAGGGAGATGGAGTAACACAGTGCTCGTGGTCTAGGACATTAATCCTCAAGGAACAGGTGGATTTCTGGGTTGAGGACAGCAGTCACAGCACCACTGATCAGGCATGGCATTGAGCAGTGCAGGTAGAGTTTAGCTCTACAGGAAATGGAGCATGTAGAGATGCTGCCCTGAAGCTGAGGAAGGAATTCCCACCCTGCTCGTAGGACTGACTGGAGCCTCACTACTTGTGTTTCGAGGATTTTTGTGTTTCTGTCCAATAAGAAAGCAGACACGAAATGGAAGTGATTAAGAAATGTTAAGAAAGTTCATTTTCTTCTTGAATTCACCCTCCACTCCTGGAAAGAAGCAGTGAAATAGGTGAATTCCAGCCCCGTGGCCTCATGCTCTCCCAGGTCCTGGCTGGCTGCTGCACTGGGATGGGGCAGGACCAGCACTGCAACAGGATTTTCAGTGACAGATAGAAAACAGAGGGTTTAGTCGAGCAGGAGGTGAACTGCAGTATTAAATGGCTGTGATGGAACTCGATCAGTGGAATTACAGCCCAGGAAAACAGACTCTCTGGTGTGTATGTGCCATGGCTAAATAGGTCAGAGCCTGACATTTATCCAGAGCCGAAGGGAAATGAGGGTAATTTTCATTGTTTTGAGCAATTTGGAGTTCCTCTGACAATCTCTGGGTTTCACTTCGTTCCTCCTCAAGGTGTTGCTGCTGTTCCTATTGTTATTGGCATCACTGAGAGGCCTCAGCAGGCCCAGGATCTCTCCTCACAGTCCCATCAGGAGGACGATGCCTAAGCGGCTTTGTGCTTGATGTGTGCATAACCTTTTGACTTCATAAAGTTCTGAATGTTGATCTGTATGAAATTTCATTTAACCACAGATAGATTTTTTATTTTTTTTCAGTTTTAAATATCCTAACTGAAGTTAGATTTAAAAACCTCCCCAAACATCTCTCATTTAGCTAAATGGAGCTGTAGCTAAGGTGGTGCCTCTGTTGGCAGGAAGGGCAGTTTTCATTACTTTAATTGTGTGATTTGTCAGGATTTTCAGCTTTTTCTAAATGCTGTAGTGTTATATGACAGAATTAAAAGGATTTAGAATAAAAGGAGTTTAAGAAAAAGACTTTGCAACAGGATTTCAATACTTTTTGTATTTGGGGGGATTTAGCTAGCTGTTTTTCATTTCAATCATCCCACTGCATTTGGTTAAACACTGTGTGTGCAGCAGGTGTGTGCAACATGCAAATAAACACAATTCTACAAATGAAAATTAATCCAGCAGAACTTGGGAGATTAAATCCCACCCAGAACTGGGAAAGGTTTGCTGCCTCCATTAAGCATCCCAGAGACCAACACATGGCACTGTGTGCAATCTCAGCGATGGGACAGCTATTAACCTGATTTAATGCCCTCAGAGTCCTCACAGGAATGATCCTTTTCCACAGTATTAATATTTACATTCCTAAAGTATTTGTTTGAGGTAGAAAATGGATTTTTTGTTTTTTTCAATGAGTGCCTCAGTCATTACGGGCTAAAATCAGTAGTTTAAGCACCTATTGGACACATTTAGCAATGTGTGTTGTGGGGGTTGAAACTGATTTTTCATTTGGATTTTGGGAAGTTGTTTCCCTGTACTTCTCACCACATTTCTACCCTTTCCTCTTGTTGTTAAACTGAGAACTGGACCTAAAGAAACATGAGTTCATGTCTCTAATGTATCTTAGTCTCTCCTGAGAACACTGCACACAGTTCTGGTGTGCTCAACATAAGAAGGACATGGAACTGCTGGAGCAAGTCCAGAAGAGGCCACGAAGTTGCTAAGAAGATTGGAGCATCTCCCCTATGAGGACAAGCTGAGGGAGTTGGGGCTGTTCAGCCTGGAGAAGAGAAGGTTGTGTGGAGACCTCAGAGCAACTTTTCAGTATCTGAAGGGCTACAAGGAGCTGGAGAGGGACTCTGTGTTAGGAACTGCAGGGACAGGACAAGGGGTAATGGGTTCAAATTAGAGGGAAAGTTTAGGTTGGATGTGAGAAATAAGGTTTTTACTCTAAGGGTGGTGAGACACTGTCCCAGGTTGCCCAGGGATGTGGTGGCTGCTCTGACCCTGGTGGTGTTCAATCCAGGCTGGATGAGCCTTGAGCAACCTGATCTAGTGAGGAGCTGTCCCTGCCTAGGGGGTTGGGATAGATGATCTATAAGGTCCATCCAACCCCCAAATTCAATGATTAGTAAAAAAAAAAAGTCATGTCACTAATATATCCTAGTAAAAAAAAAAAAAAAAGAAGGAAAAAAGTAGAGTGAAATAGTTCAGGTAAGTCCTGACTCCACTTGAATCCCTTGGAGAACTCCTGAGAGTCAACATTTCACCCTTAGTGCTGGAGATTGGCTGAGGGACCTGAACAAATGGAGTTCATCTGGTCCTGCACTGGAGGACACAAATTGTTTGCCAGGTTTTAAGAAGACTATATGTTTCATTTATCAATTCCCAGGTCAGTACATTCAGGGCAGGTTTGACTCACAAAAGAGCTTGAAATAATAGGACTAAAAGGGAAATATATTTGGCTGTTTTAGGTTACTTGCAAAGCTATTGTTGATGGTGGAGTTATTGATGTGACCCATTTGAGTTTATAAATGCCCAAATGTGGAGGAGGGAAGACTTATCCTTATACAGATGAGAGGACTGAACGGTGTTTGTTACTAATTAATTGCATGTACCTGAGTTATTAATCATTAACAGAGTCTGTTTTGTGAAAATGTATATTGTTAATTGTTGTGCCTTTCTGAGTCACTGATTTAGTGCTGTGCAACAGCATTTGGGGATTACATTTTGAGCAGACAGTGTCACCAATATTCTTTATAGATCAAAGGGTCTGGTGTATAATGGAGAACAAACAGTGCAATTCACTTTCTCACCACACACATACACAACTGTAGACAGATGATTGAAAAGGCCAAGGCTGAAAGGAAATGGAGCAAACTTAGTAGTGGTGGTTGTTATTCTGTTATTTAGGTTGGGTAGAAAAACACCCTGGAATTCAGTAAAATATTGTTCACAGGCAGAACTGAGATTTTTTTTAAACTCCATTTTAGTTTTATTTCTGTTTGTGCAGCAATAAACCAAAGTTCTCCAAACTTTTAAACCCCCATTTTAAGCAGTGTGGTGTCTCCACCAGTCTGTGCTGGGGTGGAGGTGTGGCTGAGGCTGGGGAGAGGATTCCACTGCCAGTGGATCCCAGGCCAGGCAGGACTGGCCCAGGATGAGCCAAACTGCTGCTGGGGCCTTGCTGGTGGCACCTGGTAAAGGTGAAACTACATCACTTGTGGTGTTAGAGTTGGGTTTGAATTTGAATAGCCTCAGCCTCACTGGAAGTTGCTTTCTTAAAGGCTTAAATCTGTAGGTGGTGGAACTTAGTGAAGGCTGGTTTGGATTTCAGCTCCTGTTTTCCTAGGCTGTGAGCATGGCCCTGTGCTGTGCCAGCCCTGGCAGCTAACACTCTTGTGTTCCACTTGCACCTCAGCAGGACAAGGTGTGGAACTCACCAGAGCTGGTGACAGCCTTGTCACACACACCTTCTTACCAAACAAAAACGAGCAGGTATCTCCTGTTGCACTCACAGAATCCCAACCCCAACTGAGATGAACAGAAAATAACTCCTAAGTCCAGGGCAGGTTTTGCTGCTGGTGTTACTCATCGGGCAGGAGGAGGAATTCCCTCGTGGAAAGGAGTGTCAGGCATTGGAAGGGACTGTCCAGGGAGGTGGAGGGATCACCATCCCTGGAGGTGTCCAAGACACAACTGGATGTGGCACTCAGTGACTCTGGTCTGTGACAAGGTGCTGATGGGTCACAGGCTGAACTTGATGGTCTTGGAGGTTTTTCCAACCTCAATGATCTCTTTCAACAGTAGCTCCTGACTCTGCCATTTATTTGTAGTTCACTCTCATTGTCCAGGCTGAGTTTTGTATTATACACTTAATACCCTCCCAATACATTGGCCCCACCTGTAGCTGGGAAGGTCACACAAACAGCACCTAGTGATTTGCTTTTTCTCTTTTGTTTCCCCTTTATTAGGTGCTCAGAAATGTGATAATTTCTCTGAGAAGAGACCTCTGCTTGGGGTGTGCAAAAGCATTGGATCTTCTGGGTAAGAATATTCTTCCTGTCTAAAGTCATATCTAGATTGTAACATCACCTAACCCCCAGGAGATGAATCTTCACAGCTCTGTTCCTTTTTTGCTCAGGGGATAACACTGGGATGTGGTTTTAAACCTTTTTTCAGTGTGTCAACATACATTTGCCTATGGCTTAAGCATGTGGAAAGGAATAAAAAAGAATCTCTTGCTATAAAACAAAGAGAGGTATTTTCAGTATATTTTATTCTCAGTGGAATCACAGTTTTATGATTGACCTTTGCTGCTATTAATCCTGGTCAGACTTATTCTTGTGTGGTGTCTAAAGCAGTCTCTGTGTCTTAAGAGGTAATTAAAAGATGCTTTCAAGCAACACTCACCAAATGAATTACAAACACCAAAGTTGCCTTGTTAGAGCCACACGATTTGTTAGCAAAATACACATTAAATCTACTTCTCTGAGTTAGAACACTTAGTGAACAGCCTTGTCCTGTGCTCTGAGCTGTATTGTTGTCTCTCTCCTAATAAAAAAGGCCCTTGAGGCATTTTATGTCTCTTTGATGTGCCAACTCAGACAATGCACAGGATTTATCTCTCTACCTGCAGCAAAATATTTGCTTTTCAAGGATAATCCTCTACACAGCCACTCACAGGCTCAACAGTTGGAGCAAATCTTTTTACAGTTGTAAGACTAATTCTGGGCCACACCTTGTTCAGCTAAGAATTTACTCACTCTGGGGGTGGAGGACTATCAAGTCTTTCAATTTCTCTGTGTTATTACTGTGTTAACCTGGAATATTGATGTTATTGTCTTCAGTAAACACCATGTAGGGCAGAGAAGTGAATTTATGGGATGTATTTTGTGTATTTACAACTTGCAAAACTGTTTATGGTGGTTTTTCTTCTCTTCTTCCCTGTCCTGTAAGAATAACTTTATCAGAAAGTGTTTGACCAGGGATGCAAGTGCTGTTCTCATAGGAGTTTGGCTGAATCCAAACAGTGTTTATATACACAGAGGATATGTTGGCTGGAAAAAACCTTCCAGTAGCTGAACTCATCAGTAGTTCAATATCTGCAAAGAGAAGATTTTCAATCAGGGTTTCCTGATTTAATGAGGAGATTGAGACTCTGCTGCAGGTTCTACCAAGGAGAATATGATTCTGGAGCAAAAATAGCTCTGCCTTGATCATCATTTGGATTTGTCCTATCAACCCTCTCAAATCTCTGACTTCTGGTTTCTCTGCTCAAATTTACAGCTGTTGTAACTCTTTTCCTGGAACATGCCTGGAAATTCTGATGTTTCCAAATAGGTTTTTGTTGTTACCTGTTATTAATTAGTGAATTCCAGAGCAATTTGCTGATAATATGTATATTTTTTCTATTCTTGTATGTGATCATTTTATACCTCTCCACGAGATTTTTTGCTTTGGATCTGAGTTTCTGACTAGCTTTTGGTGCACACTTTTTTGTTATTCTGGCAGTCAAATTTTCCACCTAGTAAAATGACTGAAGTGCCAAGCAGGGGGGTTGGACTAGCTGATCTTTACAGGTCCTTTTCCAACCAAAACCAGTCCATGATTCCCTGTATAATCCTCTCAAAACAATAGTTTTCACAGCCCCCCAAAAGGATGCAGTCTGACACATAAATGGGAAACAGATTGTGTTCTTTGGCTGATACTGCTGTGCTGGTTTGGAGGTTGGTTCAGTCAACTTCAGTTTTAGATTACAAGATCTACAAATTAAAGGAAAACCAAAAAAGAAAGAACATCTGCATAATTTTTTTTAATTTTTTTTTGGTGTGTGTGTAGGTTTGTAAAGACATATCTGCTTGTTCCTGGTGATAGGGCAAACAAATCTGTATATACACACAGAATCATTGATGGGCTTTGGTGCATATTAATGGCTTTTCTAGGCAGTGAGACAGTAAGATATTCCCAGTTTGGAACATACTAGATCTGTAAAACACCTTCATATACACCTGAGAGATCCAACATACTTTAAATGTGCTTTTTGTTGTGCTCAAATATAAATGGACCAATACTTTTAGTTTAAAGAAATGCTTCATTTTAAGCTAGTGGAGAAAATGAAAGGGAAACTGAGCTGTGTATATCAGATCATTAGGGAATAAATCATGGGTTGAGTGATGGCAAATCTGCCCTTCAGAGGATGATAGAGGTGACAAGAAAGAACCAAACTCCAAAGACTTTTTTCCTTGTATTTTCCTTATTTTTCTTTCTGTTTTCCTTCCTAGCTAAGCATTTTATTATACCTAGGGGACAGAATTCCTGTAAGGAGATGCAAACCAGGCTAGTCTCAGCATCCTAAGCTCCAGACCATGGTTCTAGGAGTTACAGGAGATGAAGAGTTTGAGGCCAGTAGAGTTGATGGAAAGGAACAGCAGCCTCGACAAGTGTGAGGTTTCCAGCATTTATTTTTAGACATGCATATCAGTTTAATGATGTCAAGTGATGGAAAATTGTGGATGACTTGAAGAATTGGATGGAGGTCATGTAAGGGCATGAGAAGCAAGAGGTAATCTTTTTTAATCATGGGAGGAGAGAGGAAATTAGGGTAAGTGAAAGAAGGAGGAGTAGTTGGAGCAAACAAAATGTATAAGTTTGACTAGGCAGCAGGTTTGTTTTTTTTTTTAGTTTAATGATGTCAAGTGATGGAAAATTGTGGATGACTTGAAGAATTGGATGGAGGTCATGTAAGGGCATGAGAAGCAAGAGGTAATCTTTTTTAATCATGGGAGGAGAGAGGAAATTAGGGTAAGTGAAAGAAGGAGGAGTAGTTGGAGCAAACAAAATGTATAAGTTTGACTAGGCAGCAGGTTTGTTTTTTTTTTTTTTTACAACAGGTTTTCAGGAAGTGTCTTTATTCACATGGCTACTGGAGATTAAATCCTGCTAACCTTAGCCCAGCTCTGACTCAGGAATGTGCTTCTGGGTGTGCTCAGGTTTGGGGAGAGAGCAGCTGAGTAACAACAGAAACAGAGTGATGAAAGTGTTAATATTCTGGCACACTCAGTGGGCAGTGCCAAAATCCAGTGTCCAGTTTGGAGTGTCTGTGGCTTTTCATGCTTAAAATTAGCTGTGAAATGATTTGTCAGGGACAAACAGCAAAGCTTTCTGGAAGGATCACCCAAGAGAAGGAAATAGGCTATGATGAATGAAGTTCTTGTTCACAGTTCTCACAGTGCTCAGAGTAACTCTCCCTGGAATATTCTTCCTGGAATGCCCTTAAATGAGCAGTGGTGATGCCATGGGCTCACCAGGCTGTGCCATGGGGTGTGCAGAAATAGAGCTTGTTTTCTCAGGTCACACCTAAAATGGGTTGGCCACATGGTCGTGATTTGCAGCTGTGTTGGACACCATCAAATAGATTTCATTAAATATTTGTGGTCTCCTATTGAAGACTGCAAAACTCAGACTTTTCTTCCCAGTCTGATTGTTTGAAGACTCTCAAGTTAAAATTTCTAGAGAGCAAACTCAGTTTTTGCTCTAAAAAGCACAGTAGAACCTTTCAAGTCAGGCAAAGCTCTCTCATTTCTGTTACCTTTGAGGGGTTGAGTCCCAAAGGCTCTTGTAGAGCATCATTAACTGCAGTGAGTGCTGTGGTGTCAGCTGCCTTGCAAAGGTTTCCTTCTGCTCAGCAGATGAGAAACATTATCCTCCCTGGTTAGAGCAGGAAAATTCAGTTTACTCTTAGCAGGTTGTGTGGTAGCTTTTAGATCCTGTGAGATGGAACCTTGTAGTGCTGCTGGGTGGGATTGTTATGTGCTAAAGATGGAATGGTGTTTGTCTTAGGGAGCTTGTGGATCCCAAGGTTTTTTTGCTTGTAAGTTGATTCTGTAACTATAATAATGTACTGTGAATTTCCTCACATATTCAATTGCCTGAGATAGAGCTTTAGGGGAATAAGGTGCTGTTTCCATGTGTGATTCTGCCCCTGGACTTGGCTGGAGGTTGGAGTCAGGTGGGAGTTGGTCTCTTCTCCCAGGCAACCAGCAGCAGGACAAGAGGGCACAGACTCAAGCTCTGCCAGGGGAGGGTCAGGTTGGATATTAGGAAGAGATTTTTTCCAGAGAGAGTGCTCAGGCATTGGAATGTGCTGCCTAGGGAGGTGGTGGATTCCCCATCCCTGGAGGTTTTCAAGCTGAGACTGGATGTGGCACTTAGTGCTATGGGCTAGGGTTGGACTTGATGATCTTTGAGGTTTTTTCCAACCAGGTTGGTTCTATGATTCTACATCCCAAGGGTAGGAAAGCTCTCATGTTCCCCTGATACACCAAATGTTCATCTGAGTGAACAAGGGTAAGAAACAACCTTTGAACTATAATAAACTGTTAATCTTGGATCAAAACTGCAAGAAAACGAGTACTCAGGGTCAAACTTTGACCACTTGGTGAGAACTATGGGTAGTTTTGACCTTCTCAAGCTTTGATTTATTAAACTATATAAAAGATAAACCTTTTCCAAGCGATCCTGAGGCTAGTGTGGAGGTTTGGGAGAGCACATTTCCATGCTGAGGCACAGTTTTGTTTCCCTGCTGTACCAGCCCTCCGTGCGTGGAGTGATGGAGAGAGGGATGAGGGAGGAAGTCTCCATGCTCAGCCAGACCAACCCAGCTGGAGCACAAACCTTCCCCCAGTAACTTGTCAAAAGAAGCACCACAGGGAAAAGATAATGCACAGCACCATTACAGGCAAAGCTGCTGCTTCCAGGGCCACTTTAAATTCCACTTTAAATTATTCAATACTGTAAACGCTATAAAGTTAATTAGAAGAGGAACAAACTCTACAAAGATAAATGTGTTTTCAATATGTTTCTCAGGGAGGGTACAGTAGAAACCAGTGAATGAGAGGAAATTTATTTCTGGCAGCACTCTAGACATGGAGCTGTGGTTGAACTTTTTACCCTAATTACGTCCCCACTAATGCCTGCAGCGGTCTGGAATCAAAGTGGCCCTTCAGGCCCTGGAAAGCCTCTGATGTGGCGACCGTTTGTTGTGT